AATGACCTATCAGAGGCATTTAGCAGAGTTGGTCATTCCTTCTCCCATTTAGTTTCCAAAATTTCATATTGTCTTTGTTTTCCTCTTACATCATATGTTCCCTTCCTCCTCTCAGGCCCTTTATTATTGAAGTGAACAAAGACTCAAACCCTCTCTATAGCCAACCCCTGATGATTTCATCCAGTATCACAATTTTAAGTATCATCTAAATACTTCTGACACCCACATTTCTATTCTAACCCAGTCCTTTCCCTGGAACACCAGATCCATACATCCAATTATTTACTCAACATATCCACTCAACATATCCATCTAACAGACATCTCAAATTTAACATGTCCAAAACTTAATTCCTAATTCCTACCAATAACATTCCAAATCTATTTTACCTTAAATCTGCTCTCAGTTGATAACACTATTGTTTTAGCTACTTGATTCAAAAATGTCCTAATTATACTCTCACATTCTGTACCTAATCCATTAGTAAATACTATTGGCTCTACCTCCAAAATATATTCATAAACTCAACTTCTATTGTTACCATAACCATATTGATTCTTTAAAAACCTAAGTCAAAATTCAAATGCACTTTCTTTCTCTCTCTCTTTCTCTCTCTCTCTCTCTCTCTCTCTCCCTCCCTCCTTCCCTCCCTCCCTCCCCCCCCTCTCACTCACACACACACACACACACACACACACACACACACACACACACACCACTCATGCAACCATTAGAAGTGGCTACTAAAAAATTCTTCACTTTAATGGTAATTAATAGGAAAAATTAAAGCATTTGTCCTGCCTTTCCAGTATAACTTTATTTCAGGGCAACCAAACAATCCAACTTGACAGGGACAACTCTTCTTTATAGAAGAATGACAGCTAATAAATTTAAAAAGCATGATAAAATTAGTAAATCAATCATTTGAAACTTTAAGAAATCAATTGACTCAGGAAAGGATCATCCATGTATTCTAAATCACTTAATGTAAGATTGATGAAAAAGTGGGTTTCATATGGTATCCAAGTATCAACTTGCAGATAACCTGCTATTGATAAGGGAGAAAATGTCATGCATAATGGAAAGATTAGACTGTCATCAACTTACTGAAACATTAAAAGTCAGACAGATATTGGATGTTATACAATATAAAACATAATGCACAACACATGAATATTTTTGCGATAAAATATTTTACCTGAACATAATCAAGTCAAGCCTTTAGACCTAACTCCAAGTATATAAGAAAGACAGGGGACCAAAAAAAATTTAAATCAACCATGAAAAAGCAGTTAAATTCAAAAGGTGAAGTTTTCTATGGGAATAGTCTCCTCAACAAGTTGGTACCTTTAAAGAAAGAGGAAATACTATTCTAAATTAAAAGAAGTCTAACAATTAAGTACAACATGCGGTCTTTAATTGGATCATCATTTGACCAGACCAGTTGTAAAATGAATTGGGGGGGAGCAATTTGGGAAATATTAATATGGTTTGGGCTTATTATATGATAGCAATCTAAAGTATGAAATTGGTATCATGGATCATGATTAAATATAAAAATGCCCTTACTTTTAGAAAGTTCAAACTAACATATTTAGGAGTAACATTCATGGTATCTGTAACATAAACTAATATTTTCAAAAAAGTATACCAAACTTACTTTTAGGTAATGGAGTTTTGGGCATCTATTATATTATACATTCTTTCCTATATGTTTAAAAATGTTCATAATAAAGTGAAAAAGTAAAAAAGAAACAAAATGAAAAACCTAAGTCAGATCACATCACTCTCCTATTCAGAATCCTCCTCTGGCTTCACCCAGCATCATAGTCAAAAACTTTGTGCTAACTCTGTGTGGTGTGATATAGTCCCTTTTCTTTGATCTCATTTCCTACAGCTCTCCCACTCAATCACTCTGATCCAGCTACACTAGTCTTCCTGCTGTTCTTGAACGCATCAGCATGCTCACACCTTGAGGCCTTTCTTTGCTTTGGCTGTTATCTTTGCCTGAAGATTTTTCTCCAGATATCTGTACAGTTTACACCCTCACATCCTTCATTTCTTTGCTTGAATCTCATCTTCTCAATTAGGTCTCCTCTCACTATTCTATTTACAATTGCAACCAACAACTCCAGCACTCCCAATTTTCCTAAACTTGTTCTATATTTTTGCCCCATTTTACTGATCAACTTCCAGCATATCATATGATTTGCTTAGAATGTTAGCATCACAAAGGCAAGAATTTTTATTTGTTTATGTGTAGCCCCAGCACCTAGAACATTACTTACCACATATAAGGTGCTCGATCAATATTTCTCAAATTAATGAATTTGGATTATAATAGCAGCTAGTCATGTTACCAATATTACTACTACTGTATTTTGAATCCACAAATCAAGGAGCTATGATATGGGTGAGAATCACCATCTCTTTCCTCTTTCCTGTGGCAAGACAACTCCAGCCAAGTTTGTCTTTTGGTGCCCTCACACTTTCTAGTACTCCATCTGCCTGTCCTTTGTGCTGCCCCTAAATCCTCTATCACAGCAATCCTGGTTAGGAGGATCAAGCAGATATGACTGCCTAACTTTCCAAAATGATCATATGCTCTAAAACTGCTTTCATCTCTTGCCACACAGTCTAAAGCATTGGGAATGCAGCACCTTGCTAATTCAAGTAAGTCCCAATTGGTAAAAATATGGATTACAGGCAGGAGGAGTGAACATTATCAGGTAGTAACTGAAAGAAGGGAAGGTAGAGTAAGATAAGGGACTAGCATAAAGAGTGACCATACATGCCTAGGAGCCAATTCCCAGGCTATCCTTACTTTACCTCCAAGACCACAAATTACCTAAAATCTCTGACATTTCTTCCCCTGCCCTTAATGGTCCTTAAAACTACAGATTCTCACAACAATAAGATAACTCAGGCAAAAGAAAAAAGGCAATAGTTTTACAAAGCAATATAAGGGTTACCCTTTTCAATAATAGGTTACTTCTAAATCAAATGTTTCTTGGTTGGGTATTTCTTATGTAATAAAAAGGCCCACTGTCTATTTTTTTAAAAAGGATTATTATTCCAACATTATCAATCCCCAGGGATATTTTAAGTTAGCTCAAAAAGTGTTACTACCATGAGAATATTTTCATATAAAAATTTCATTCTAAAATTCACATTTAACAAACAATACTTGATGTTATGCAGTAACTCACTGCACTATGCTCTGAAACCTATAGTCTCCAAAACCCTAACTTATATGTAAGTAATCACATCCAAGTTAAATTTCAGTTACCCTGTCACTTTAGCAGTTGGCTTCATATTCTTAAAGCCAAAGCTATCATGGTGCCTCTTAAAACACTTCAACTTCTCCTTCCCTGTACTAAAAGTGGACGCCCTGGTTTCTGGTAGGAACAAGAACAGCTACCATCACTAATTTTTAAGCAAAGGTGAAATACTCTTACCCGAAAACCCTGCCATATGTCTTACTTGGTATCAAAAAGCCATATGCTTTCAAGTTCTGATCTGATTTCTGTTCTGATCTGATTTCTATTCTGGAGCATCCCAGATTGTGAAAAATAAAAGACAAGCAGAGACAGTAGGTCATCTATCACTGGAGAATGCTAAAAGAAATTGTCTTACTATCCTGAACTTGAGCTCCAGAGGACAGGAATAAACATGCTCCACCAGAGAATCCTCAGTGCCTAGCAAAGCAACAGCATATCATAAACACTCAATAAGTATTTCTTGAATAGCTGAGTACCCCAAGCAAAGTAGACAAATTAAGAAAGGTATAACAAAAGGATAATGGAGGCCTTATTACATTAAAATCCTCTATGCTATCAAGAGATAGACCACTCATTTATAATTAGTGGGCATTTACTATAGAATAAACAGTAGATTAACCAAGAGAAATTAGTAAAATATAGATCTTGCCCTAAATGACTCACAATCTGGCAAAGTTCTAATATAACCTGATAAGTGTTAGAAATCTATGTCACGTTTTATGGAAAGAAATATTAAGAAGTTACTAATTCTGCATGACTGAAATATCAGTCAAGACTTTATAGAACAAGTAGCACTTACTTGTTCTATAAAGAATAAATAGGAGTTCACAAGATTAAGACCAAGACAGGTGAGACAGCTGCATAAGATTATTTTCCTAGTTTAAGAAACTGCTTGTAAACAAAGGTCTGTCTATACATAGCAATGTCTATACCTTAGTTCAGGAAATGGCTATTACTTTAATATGGCTAGAATATCAGATTTGAGGGGGGAAATCAGTAAAGATGAAGCTGGAAAGAAAGAATGGGGCTAAATTGTGACTAGCCTTTTCTTCCATGTTTGTAAGTTTGAATTTCATCCTCCAGGCAAATGTGTTTGAGCAGTGTATCAATTAGATCTTTTTTAGAATGTAATAGTAGTAATAATATGAAAGATGGACTTGAAAGAGAAATAATCAGAAGCACAGATTTACTAGATAGCTATTGTAGTTGTTTAAGTGAAAAATAACCAATGGTCTACACAGTAAATTTCTAACTCAACACTATACCATCAAAAGTGCACCTATCTTTCCAACTTCACTTCCTATCTCTTCTTTTCCCCGCATCTTGCAATCCAGCCACATCTGACTATATACCATTTCTTCAATCTCATACTGTTATGTCTTCATTCTGCACTAACAACTGTAAACAAACTCCTACTCATCCTTCAAGGAACAGGTTTTTAAAAGTTTATTATCTATAAAACCTTCCCTGACTCCATCTCTCCCAAAGCAAGATGTTTATTATGCTTTCCTCTAGACTTTCATATCACAGCATTCATAGTACTAATACAGTACTTATTACACCTCATTGTTAGCTATCCATTTATCTATTTCCTCTCTTAGAATGGTATAGCTAAGACTAATCATTTACAAATAAGATTCAAATTAAATTGTACATATAAAATAATGAAATTAACCTATAGATACAGATAGATATAGATACACACACATATTTTGTTACCTGGTAAAACTTGAATTTGAACCCAAGAATATGACACAGTGTTTGCGGTTCACACATACTCATGTAAGATTCTAATAAAGATATAAAGAAGTCATCATGTTCTGGCCTGCATTCAAACACTTCTAAAATGACATCCAAAACTCTATTGGGATCCAGATTAAAGCATCCTGCAACAGATGAGATATACAAAATTCAAAAGTGATTATCCATAATTTCTAGAAAGCCATTAAACTTCAGGAACAACTTATATAAAACTGTTTTTAAAAACAACTTCTTTTACAAGTTTGCTTCTCCTGCCCCAGAGGGAAATCTTTTTTAAGATCAAGTCCATTCCCCACATTTTACACATGAGAAATGTTACTTTCCCAGGATTACAAAGTGAGTTAATGACAAGGTTGTGCTGGAACCCAGGACCTATAACACTAAGTCAAGTAAACTTTCTTCTATCAGTTCTTGATTAACCAGGCTAGTGGAAGAGATCCACATTTTTAACTCTTAGCAAAATATAAAAATAAAACAATGCATTTTATAAGTTAGGCAAATAAAGAGTTTTACTTAAATGTTTTATGCAGAAATTATCTTGAATGTTTATATAAAGAACTCATGAAAGTAGACCACTATTATTTTGTTAAGGGATTATAAATATTAGGTCATCTGGATATCAGATGGGCTGAGCCCCAAAATGGCACCAGCCTAGACCACCATTTTTAGAACCACTTCACAGTTTACGTTATATACACAACAAAGCTACAAAATATAATTGTACAACTGATTTATGTTTTGGGGTTTTGGTAGCATTCTACAGAGTAAACTACTGATTCTAAAGAGATGAGAGAATACCAAGGAGTTGGGGACACAAAAAAGGAGTGTAGATAGCACAAGCAAAGAGAAGAAAATAAACAATCTAGGCAGAGAGAAAAATGAAGGGAAGAAGCACTGAATAAGTGCTAATGATGGCTACTTATCCCTACTAACCTACTATGGTAAGCTAAAAAGGAGCATGAAAAATGACTTAACAAACCTATCAGCCACCCTAACCTTAATATACACATAAATCTCTTTTTGCATTCAGCTTTACCTGTTACCATAATTACAATGCAATCACATCACATATACATCTAATTTATGAGAATGCAACTATTTACACACAGCAAAAAGAAAAATAATTTAAGTGATACAGGCCACTCCACCCACTATTCCTCTCAATAAAATGTATGCTTATGCCAAAACCAATTTGGCTCAGTGGATAGAGCGTCGGCCTGCGGACTAAAAGTTCCCAGGTTCGATTCTGGTCAAGGGCATGTACCTTGGGTGCAGGCAACCCTAGTAGGGGGTGTTCAGGAGGCAGCTGATTGATGTTTCTAACTATCTCTCTCCCTTCCTCTCTGTAAAAAATCAATAAAATATATTTTTTAAATGTATGCTATGACCCAGAATGAGCATGAGATATAAATCTGCTGTTCTCTCAATTTATATCAGTTCACACATGCCTTACACATCAAACTGAATAAAATACTACTATTTTAGCCCAGTTTTGCTCAGTGGATAGAGTGTCGGCCTATGGACTCAAGGATCCCAGTTTCTATTCCGGTCAAGGGCATGTACCTTGATTGCGGGCACATCCAAAGGTGGGGGTGTGCAGGAGGCAGCTGATCGATGTTTCTATCTCTCTCCCTTCCTCTCTGTAAAAATCAATAAAATATATTTTATAAATGTATGCTTATGACCCAGAGGAGGCAGCTGATTGATGTTTCTCTCTCATCAATGTTTCTGACTCTCTCTCTCTCCCTCTTCCCTTCCTCTCTGTAAAAAATCGATATAATATATATTTTTTTAATTAAATTTTTTAATTAGATGTAGCCCCTAAATGCAAAGCTAACCATTTCATTGGGGCAAGTAAATAAACATTTATTCTAATTCAAGAGGGAAAATAAGCAAGTGTATTGAAATTAGAGAGAGATGTTAAGTCTAAACTCTGTACCTCATGGATGACTTAGGACTGTGGTCGGCAAACTGCGGCTCGAGAGCCACATGCAGATCTTTGGCCCCTTGAGTGTGGCTATTCCACAAAATACCACGGTCTGGGCAAGTCTATTTTGAAGAAGTGGCATTAGAAGAATTTTAAATTTAAAAAATTTGGCTCTCAAAAAAATTTCAATCGTTGTACTGTTTATATTTGGCTCTATTGACTAATGAGTGTGCCGACCATTGATTTAGGGGATTTAGCAAAGAAATTTCTCATATCATCTATTTTATAAGAGGAGATTTCCAGAGTTACTTCTTTTAACTCTACATTTAATTTTATTAAATCGGATAAAACTAATGTCTGGTTCACAGTACAGTAAGTCCTCACTTAATGTTATTATTTTACTACTTTAGCCAAAATGATGTAAAATGAAAGCAATTTTACTACAGGTTAATTGATATAAACAAGCATTAAGTCCTTACAGCATCTCATCAATATTATAATGAAACAATGTTGAAGAAAACTCTGTTATTCAAGGACTTGTTGTATCTTAGCACTAACCTAGAAAAGAGAATTCTACAAATACAAGAAGTATTTCTTACCTCTTTTTTATTAATCACAATACTTATTTTTCTATTGATTGATGTTAGAAAGAAAAGGTGAGGGGAAGGGAGGAAGGGAGGGAGGATTTCAATTTATTGTTCCAGGTATTTATGCATTCATTGGTTGATTCTCGTATGTGCCCTGACCGCAGATGGACACCCCCATAACCTTGGAACATTGGTATGACACTCTAACCAACTGAGCTATCCGGCCAGGGCTCTTTTCACTTTTTATAAAATACAGGGCTCTTTTCTCTTTTTATAAAATCCAAAGTTAAGAACACATTTTCTTCCATTTCTCATACTAAGGGAAAAAAGGACTAACAAGTAATCATGTCAATTCAGAGAAACCAAGATGGCAACCTAGGTAAGCACATAAGCTGCCGCCTCGCACAACAATTTCAAAAGACAGAACGGATATCACCCTAAACCACAGGAAAGCTGCCGAAGTGGGAATCTACAACTAGAAAGGAGAGAGGCTCACAGATCGGATTGGGAGCTGCAAAGCGCTGAGGTAGGGAGACACTCGTGTGCAGAGAGGAAGGGCAGTCAAATGCCTGGCTGGCGGGAGGAGAAAGAAAGTCCGTGATTGCACTGAACCCTTTCCGACTATACTGAAACCCAACCCCGGCCGAAACCCCATGGACCCAGGCTCATACGGGTGGAGTCTGGACTGTAGAGAAAGGCACCCAAAGACTAGGAGACTAGGAGACTGGGGGAGCCGGGAGTCGCAGCAGGCAGGGTCTAAGTCACGCACGACTGAGTGCGCGTAGAAAGGTCTCACAGCAGAGGTTGCTGTGGCCTCTCCATAGCAGAAGGAGTCAGAAGCTCCTGACTACAGAGACCCAACCCAATTCCAGGCAAGCCCCTAGGGCACCCACACTCTTGCACAGGGAAACTCAGGAGAGCCGCAGAAAGCAGAGGTCAGGCAGAAACTCAGGCGAGCGCACAAGGGAAGGACTGATGAGAAGCCAAGACTGTCAGCTCAGCCCTGAGACTCCGCCCCATCTAAGCTGAGCACAGAGGCTTTTGCAATTTTGCAAGTCTGATCCTATAAGACTGTCTCCAATACAGAAGGTATCCTGAAGTAGACACAGCTGATACTCACATCCAATGGGTCTGGAGGTCAATTCCTCCCAGTGATACCAAAAACAATCAAGTTAAAACACAAAGGGGAGCACCAAGAATGTCTACCTCAGGTAACTGGGCAGGCTGACCCACTGGGCCATATAGGACACCAAACACACAAAGCCATCCTACCAACTCTGGGAAGCAGCAAAAATGCTGAGACAAGGAAATAGGTCTTAAACGAAAGAGATGGAGGACAACAAAAGCCTGGACATAGAGTTCAAAACCATGGTTATAAGGTTTTTCAAGAATTTCCTAGAAAAGGCCAATAAATTTAATGAGACCCAACTAGAAATTAAACATAAACTGACTGAAATAAAAAATATTATACAGAGATCCAACTTCAAAGTGATGAATAGCAAGAACCTACAACCAAGATTACTGTATCCAGCAAAATTATCATTCAGAATTAAAAGGCAAATAAAGAGCTTCAGAGATAAGAAAAAGCTAAGAGAGTTCATCACCACCAAACCAGTATTATATGAAATGCTGAAAGGTACTCTTTAAGAAGAGGAAGAATAAAAAAGATAAAAATTAAGATCAACAAATACATATATATCAATAAGTGAATCTAAAAATCAAGTGAATTAAAAATCTGAACAACAAAATAAACTGGTGAATATAATAGAATCAGGGGCAAAAAAAGGGAGTGGATTGATAATTATCAGGGGGAAAGGGATGTGGGGGTGCAGGAAGAGACTGGATTAAAATCATACACCTATGGATGAGGTCAATGGGGGAGAGAGGAAGAGGTAAGGGCAGAGAGTGGGGCGGGAACCGGGTAGAAGGGAGCTATGGGGGGAGAAAGGAGAAACAATTGTAATAATCTGAGCAATAAAGATTTATCAAAAAAAGTAATCATGTCTTATTGCAAAGAGCTCCAGATTTTCATAAATTGCCCCAAAGAGATGTTTACCTAAAGTCCTGGGAAGAAAACTTCTAGATATTTTTTCTCACCCTGTATCCTCCCCCCCCCAAAAAAAAAAAAAAAATGTATGGCCTATGAATGTAAAAGTGACTCAAAAATAGCAATTGGAAATTTAAATGCTGTGGGTGTAAATATAAAATGTAACTTTGTAAAACTGGCAGTTTCCTTAAAAGTTCAACTTACACGGAGAAAAAGGAACCCTCTTGCACTGCTGGTAAGAATGCAGACTGGTGCAGCCACTGTGGAGAACAGTATGGAGTTTCCTCAAAAAACTAAAAATGGAACTCCCAATTGACCCAGTGATCCCACGTCTAGGAATATATCCCAAGAAACTAGAAACACCAATCAGAAAGGATATATGCACCCCTATGTTCATAGCAACACAATTTATCATAGCTAAACTTTGGAAACAGCCTAAGTGCCCATCAGCAGATAAATGGATTAAAAAACTGTGATACATCTACACAATGGAATACTACCCTGCAGTAAAAAAGAAGGAATTCTTACCATTTACAAAGACATGGATGGAACTGGAGAGCATTA